CCTTCCGGGCCGGGCGCTTTCTAACCCGCACCGTGTCTGTGCTTGCAGAAGGAGGACAAGATCCGCGTGTTGAAGCAGCGACTGCAGGAGCGCGAGGCGGCCCGCGGCGGCGGCTCTGGTGGGGGCGGCGGCGGTGGCGGCGGCGGGGGCGGCGGCGTGCAGAAGGACGACCTGATGCTCCACACAGGTGCGGGCAACAAGGACACGCTCATCGTGGCGGACCTGATCACGGACGCAGGGACCTCGGACTCGGCCATGTGCGGCGGGCTGTCCGTGCACACGCGCTCCTCGCGCGCCTCCGCGTCCGACTTTGAGTTCTCCGAGTCGTACCTGTGAACGACACACCCCCGCTTCCCCCGTTCCCTACTTCCGATCATGTCATCCGTGCCATTCGCGCCATTCCCTTCGCGTTGGCTGCCGTGACAGGACCGGCCGTGATGCGGGTGCAGGCCAGTTGTCTCTGGCGCCGCACGTAGATGTAGTCTTCTCACCACCCACCCCCACCCTATCATCTTGCACGGTAGCCTCCCCGCGCACCGCCCAGAGCGAGAGAGAAGAGGTTTCACCCTCACAGCGAGTTCGGGTCGCGAGGAAACGCCTCTATCGCGGAAAGTAAACTCCACTTTGTTTCCCTTTTGTAGCGTTTGCACGCCCATTTCGGTTAGTGCATAGATGTCTAAGGACACTACACCATCAATAAGGCGTCTATGCCCAGTACGGTGAGAGGACCACACTGTCGCATTCTCTCCTTTTTTTGCAGACTGAGACAATCATTTAATTGCAAGCCTATACCCTTTCCTCTTCCCCACAGAGCGGACATGGCCAAAGCAATCAACCCTTAGATTAAATTCGGATCAAGTAAATAACGAGGATGTAACACTTACACCCCTTTTAATGAAAAATGAATTTATAGGTACACATATAGCAATTTAGATCCACTATATATATTTACATTATCAACTATTTTGTGAGTGTGAACCATGATGAGCGTGTATTTTCCTACGTGCAGAAAAACTGTCTCCCTGCTTGTCCAGTTGTTTTATTAGCTGTCGTTTTAAGCGAGGGGACCACAACTCATGCATGCATGTTACGATCCGCGGGTGCAACCTTAGCGATAATAAATTTTCCACTTTTTAGCAAATTACTCGATTCGTGTAAACATTTTGAACGCAGTGAGCATTAAAAGATCAAAATCGCACTTTAATGTGCCTGAAGCGAATCCAAAGTGTGCAATCCGGTGCAATCATACAATCTGTGTACAAATTTCGGCTGAGTTGCGGCGCCCTCGATTATAACGCAAGATTTTGTTACTCTGTCGTTTCATCTGTGTAGTCAGGCTTTACTTGCCAAAAGAATAATCATTAACTTCCTTTTTGATTCCCCAAATCGCAAATAGCGAACCTATTTCCAAATCTCCAAGACTGCATTTCCCAGTGTTGCTCAGTGAAAATCTGAATATAAGTTTATGAAAAGTCTGTTTTGTTGTAAGTTGTCCATAGAAATTGTATCGAGGGAGAAATCGTTTGTCCATATGGCGTTCCTGAAATCTAACAAGTAGTCGTGTAGACAAACCATTTCCCGCTTTGGTAATTAAGATAAGCAGTAAAATCTCGTTATAACAAGTGTCACTACAGGCGAGTTAGTGATCGGCTGTGTGGATGTCGTTTCCTTCAGTATAACTTCTCCCAAATTTATCGATAAATTTCAGATCGAATCAAATTGACGGACAAAACATTCCGATCGCCGGCATGTATCTAAGGAAGTCCTTCAGTGTGTTTTTTTGTGTTTTTTTAATCCTGATTTTGAAGGTAATTTTTTGTCGATTGTTTGGACGGGTTGCAAGCAGACTCTTGATTGTAACGAGATTTTCCATTTTGATATCCGGTAATCCGTCCAGGAGTCCTCCTCCCCAGTAATTTGCACAAAACTTTTTGGGAATTGTGTCTGAAATGCATAAATTTGGGAGTTGTGTGTGAAGCGCGCTTGTGCGGTGGGCTATGGACGGATCCCCGGTTAGCTACTGGCGCTTCTCCTGGTGGGGGTGGGCGGGCCCTCACCGGCGCCCGCGGCGCCCACAGGAGGAGGAGCCAGTACTTTTGAAAACATGGTCGCATTTGGAACGCACTTGTCGGGGTCACTTGTACGCAGCACAACAGACCTATCGCTTACACTTTTCCAATACCTTTTATCTTCCTGAGGCCCCCCCCCCCTTTTCCCTCGGCTCCTCCCCTACGCAGCTGCAGATGGTGACCCCGCAGTGCGCTCCTCAGTGTCGCTGTGATTTTAACGGGGGTTTTGTTTATTCCACGTGCAGATTGATGGTGGAGCCTCGCACCTGTGCCACCTGTGCCCACCGAGGAAACGCATCCACCGAGGAACGCCGCCGAGGCCGTCTAGCGTGTAGCGAGAGAGAATTTCGATCAGGAAGTTTTGCCTTAGTTTTAATTTTTATTGGTCAGGAAGTTTTGCTCAGCGGCCCAGCACGCATTGGCCGTTGGCGACAACGCCGGCCGGGACTGCAACTGACCTCCTTCTAAGAGCGGCTGGCATCAGCCACAATGCCGGACAAGCATTTTTTCCCCCACTTTAAATTTTGACATGAGTAAAAAAAACAAACAACGAAATTGTTTCTGTTGAAAAGGATGCTTGTGAGTCGCTTAGAGTGGTCTGAAGCGGACGCAACAAGACCGCGTCCACATACTGATTCCGTGTACCCCCGTAGTTTGTAATCACTCGAAACTGTAGACAGTATTTAACTTGATCGGCATCGGAGACGTCCGGAGGGAGATGGGCTGGGCGGCCGTGGGGCAGCGACGAGTCAAATGTAACATGAAATGGTCGAGATAATGTCACATATTGGCGTCAAAGATACCAGTTGTTAAAAGTTGCCAGCAACGTTTCATGGTCAAAAAAAGTAATAGTTAACTTGAGGTCGGAATATGATCACAGTCATCAATTATTGGCTTTTTCGTGTAGATTCGGTGTATGTGTATATGCTTTGAATTGAACATCGCTGCCCCTGTCCAGTCTTATTGGGCCGAAAGTACTTTCGTAGTCTAGAATTTCCAGGGAACTGCTGTTACATTTGAGGATCTGCGACGTTTGTGCCAATCTTAGAACGATTAGTTTGACACGCCCTTGCGCAAAGATCAAGGAGATTGGTTCTGTGTTCCGTAAATAGGGAGAGAGAAAGACAAAAAGATTTTCCAATGTGGGCTGTGTTTGTATGTCGCGTTTCCCCATCCCATTCCTTTTCTTTGCCTGTAACTGAAAATTGAAACCACGAAACTATATCTGTGAACTTCTTTTGTACCTCACGGGTGGAATGCAAGTTAAGCTGAATATACGTATCTTACATCTTTTATCCACCCCTTGGCAAAAAACAGAGGACGAGTACAATACGGAGCCGAACGTCAGAGCGAGAGCGATCGACCCACCTGGAGTGGCAAATGGAGGGGTGGATTTCATCCTCAAAATATAAAATTTCCCCCGACCCATTCCACTTTGCTGAGGTACTCTCTATCAAGACTTTTTTCATCTTTATTATTCAGGTAGATAATGTAGCCATAAAAAACAACAAATGAAAATGTAACCGCCATTGAAAGATTTTTGATTTTTACTCGCGCACATTCAGCGGTAATAGGTTTTACCTTGTTAAGGAGGCAAAGGATGACTTGTGCTTTGATGGTTTTGGTTCTGAGTGTTATTATACAAGGTAGACGCACGTTAAAACCGTGTGAAGCTGAGCTAAATGTGCGTCTACCTTGGCCTGCGGCGCGCTTAAATTAAAATGTTGTCGCGATTATAAAAGGCATCTTCAAATAAAAGTGTGGGACAAATTACACATGCAGTGTGTAACATGTGTTCTGCTAGACACGTCTTTGTGTGTGACCACACCGTGATCACACAACTCTTAGCGTGTGGCGTCCACATTCCAAACACTTTTCGGATTTGATTTTTCACACTTTTATTTGAAAATTTGGAGTGACGCCCATTTGACATCGCCTTGTTTCCATCGAAACACGCTTGTATATTGGCTGAGCCCTCGGGTGGAGCGGTCCGCGCTTCTCGGGGGCACACCCCTAGGCTGTAGGAATATTTTCTGTTCATTTTCCTCTTGCGTTTCCTCGTTCTCGGGTTTCGTCCCTCGGGCGACTCGTGTGTGAATAAACCTGGAGACATTACTTGGATACAAGCACCGCACTACACAGGGGCTCCCAAGTGCCGGCCGACCGCAGCCGAAGGGAGTCAGCTCAAGAGCCAGCTAGCTCTTACATATGTCGTTTATCCTCAGGGTGACTAGCTTTACGGCTATTCATTTACGTATAAGTAGGTTTAAGGGTTCTTTCGTTTCGTGTCTTGGCGTTTGATTTCAACGTTTTCTTGCAACGGTGGGCAACCATCTTGCACGGTGCACAAAGCTTGTCTAAACTGTACATATACGTAGGAGTAAGTGATATTCTACGGTCCGCTCAAGCTTGCACACCCCTCTCTTGTGCTCGTTTCCCATAAGTATCTGTACATATGTAGGTTGGTAGTGTTTTTTCTTTCCAGTTTTCTTTTCCTTTTTCTCGTTCTGTGGCCGGCGTCGTCGATGCTTCGGTGCCGATCGTCGTCCGGTTCATACATTCAGCGCCATCGGTCAGATCTGTACATACCTAAGTTCGTTTAGTACAAGGTTTCTCGTTGAGTTCGTCGTTTTGAACGGCTGCGTCATCGACGCGTCCATAGAAGGATGTCGTTGCTCTCTTGAACGTGTACATAAGTAGTGTGTAAGGTCTTTACTTTCTTGGTTTCGGACTCAGGTCGTTTAAAAGCACCGAGCGAGCTACGCGAGCTAGACCCCTTCTTCGACAGGTGAGAGGGCCATGGGAGGTAGGCATTTAGCTCGCGTAGCTCGCTCTTTGCAGGGCTATCGTGTGTGTGTGTGTGTGAGAGAGAGGGAGGGAG